AATCTACTTTGGGGGATACCTTTACTATGTTGCACATGTCTCAGAAGAAACGGCTGATCTCCTTGTCTCCTTCGATCTTGTGACTGAAGTGTTCAAGTTTGTGAAATTGCCTGATGATCTGTTGACTGACTTTGATGGTCAACCAGGTGATAGGCTGGTGACCTTTAACAACCAATTAGCAATTGCTCAAGATGATGGTGACAGTAATCTCCTTACTCTCTGGCTTTTGGATGATAAATGTTCATGGTTCAAACGTGAGATCATAATTCCCTGGACCTGTTCCTCACCCAGTGCGAGAATTAGACACAAATTTATAGGTACAGGTGCTACTAACGAGCTCATCTATGCGCCTTACTCAACTTACAACTTCCGATCTCAGTTCCATTTCGAGAATCAGTACGTTATTTACTACGACTGCATTCGTGAGACCAAGACAAATGTAAGTATCCGGGATGATTTTGCTGGTTTCAGTGGGAAGATAGAACCGTATCTTGACTACACCGATAGCACTGATCTCATCTCCGTAGGGAGACCCATGTGACAACTCCTCTCTTGTGGTCTTGTTAGAAGAAACATTATGCTACTTTCCTTAAACCTTAAGACTTAATACTATGTTGTTTTCCATAGACTTGACGTTATGCTTCCAGTTATGTTTTATGGTTGTTTCGGATTTAAGACAATTATGCTTCCTGTTATGTTTTACGTTTGTTTTGTGTTTTAGACACGATTGTTCTCAAACCTTGAACCTTGTTTTCTTCATCATATTTATTCACTGTGTTTACAAAAAAAAATCATCAACATCTAATCAATTCCTTGTAAACTTGTATGTCTGAATTTATCTCAATCTGTGTCATAGTTAAAAATATTATTCTCTCAGTTTCAAATTATATGTCATTCTAGAGTAAAGTTTTCTATTATCAATACTAAAAATCTGAAAATCAAAACCTGAAATTTAAAAATTTAAAACTAAAATCTAAAAAATCAAAAACTACTCCATCAAAACTTTTATCATCAAATCTCAAATTCACAAAGATTTTTTTCATCCACTTGAAATTGATCATCACATCTCTTTTTACATAATTTTTAGGTCATGTATCCATTAACTACAAAATATATAATGACAAATTATCTGAGATTACAAATAAAGTCTTTAGNCTTGAGGTACATATTGGTAGTATCTTTGTTCCAATTTTATGGGTTGCTTTCTAATAAACTAAAATGTAAAGATTTTGGAAGAGACACGTATCATTGTTTGTCCTTTGCTTTAGATGATGTGGCAGCAAGAGAAGAAAATAACCATCTTTTGATAGTATAGATTATATTCTATGATTAGTTTAGTTAAAATAAAATTGTAGATGAAATTTAGTAAATAAACTTGACTTTTTTGGCAAAGATAACATTTTTCTTGCAAATTCATGTTTTATTCCAAGTTAAAACATAACTAAATTATTAAATACCATATGTTTACATAGTTAAATTAGCAATAAAAAAACTAGCTTATACTTTAATGTTAAAACCAACATGAAGAATCATATTAATCTTTAATGATGCAATTAAATACAATAGAACGACTTAAAAGTTTACTAAACATGAAAATAAACAGTAATAAATAGCTAAACTTAAATACAAATAAAAAAAGAGAGACTACTCTCTACTTTTAGAGAGAGGTTTTCCTCTCGGTAACCTTTGTTCACCGATCTCTATCTTTCATTGGAGATCGAGTTTATCTTCTTTTGTTGTAATATATTTTGATCTTTGATCGACTTTTCCCTTCGTGTTGTCGATTTTGTTTGTGTTTTCAACTCTAAATTGATCTGTTTTTTTTTTTATATTTCTCTTCTTCTATCGATTTTGAGGTTGAATTTTAATAAATTCGCGTTGGCGATGTCTCTTCGCTTTAGGCGATTTTTGTTGTGTTAACCTTAAAGTTGAACTATTTCTTTCCCTGACAAATTAATATTCTGATTGGTTTATGGAGATTCTCGTCTTTTCGATAGATAAAATGGGTCTCTTACTTGAAAAATGTATTAATCTTCATTTAAGATATTAAGGCGAAATACCCTTGAAGGTATGAGATCGAGATAATTGATTAATTTGAGAAGACTTGATACAGACTTAAATTGCTGGAGTTTTCTTGTTGAAAGCGTTCTGGCAAAGTTTTATGTCTATATCCTTGAAGGTTATCACCCGACTTCTTCTTTAGTGTGAAGATAAGGAATTTTCCAAGATTGTCGGCGAACACGGGAAGGAGGAGCGGTCAACGGTTTCAATCAGGCGAAGAAAAAGGTAGATGGTTCTTGTTCCAGTAATTTTCCGGCGAAACTAGAGGCACTCTTTTCGGATCTGGAAACGTTAAGTTCCACATAAAAGTGTATGCGTCAATCATGTGTCAAAGTTTTATTTTTTAGAAACATTTATTTTTCTTATATCCTTATCTTTTTGATTGGGCTTTGACTGTGCTAAAAATATGTATGATAATGAGTTGTAATCTCTTGTAAGTTTGGGTTTTAGCCCAACTAATAAAATTTTGACAAAAAAAATTACAAATTACAAAAGTTAATATCCTACTATAAAAAAGCATCCCAAAAATGTCAATGTTTTAGTCAATAAAATTTACTACACGTCATCTAGTCCATTATTAAAATGACCGTAGGCCATTCTGGCCCAACTTTATAATTTGTTTATGTTTAAACTTACTGCTTCCTCTTCCCATTCTGACCATTCTACCCTAAAACTTATTGCTTCCTCTTCCTTACCCTAATATCCTCCGACGTCTCCAGTGACTCCTCCATATCCTTTCGTCGACCCAACTCCACCGGCGTTACGCCTAAGACTACAACAATGCCACCTTCAGTGCTCCTTAATTACTCATCAAGCGAAGACTCTGAGTACCTCTCCACGTCCCTCCTCCCAAACAACGATACCCCTGCCTCTTCAAAGACCCATCATTACTCACACAATCGAAACTCATCCCAGCTCTCTCCTCTCCCCCTTCAGACTATATATATACCCTCCCCAACCCAACAATCTCAAGCATCCTCAAATTCATTCCNACGATACCCCTGCCTCTTCAAAGACCCATCATTACTCACACAATCGAAACTCATCCCAGCTCTCTCCTCTCCCCCTTCAGACTATATATATACCCTCCCCAACCCAACAATCTCAAGCATCCTCAAATTCATTCCTAACACCATGGCAAATCAAACGGCAGTCACCACCGCGCAAGCTCCTTCTCCGCGTCTCTTCAGTAAGGTTTCAGCAAGACCAGGAGATTCTAAGTTGATATTTAGGCTAACCCATTTCTGGGAAGCTAGAAACAATTCGAATGAAGGCATACATGTGTTGATGCCTTATTTTCTTCCGAATTCCTAATTGTATGGCTGTCGATAAGTGAAAATAGTGAACGAAAGTTTTTTAATAGGGTGAACGAAAATTTTTTAAGGAGGTCGTTTTTTTAATACAAGCCTACTATTTAAGATATGTTTGGGACCGCCAAACAAAATATATGTTTGGTTTGTTGTTCCACACCTTAATATATTGTTCATCACTGACTCTGTTTTGCATATTCATGATAGAGTAATCGATTTTGTTTTTTAAGCAATACTCTTTAAGATATGAAACTGAATTAGTTCTTTGCTTTGGTCTCTAAGGTACTGTAGCTCAGGGATTCATCCCTAAAAACCGTCTCAACCGATATGAGAATGATCTCGAACATGGCTGCATCTACACTCTCACAAAATTCTTTGCATCCAACAACAAGGTGATGTACTGTGTGGATGATCAGAAGCTGGTTATTTGCTTCACACACACCTCTTACCTGTCAAAGCTTGAAGAAAATAGTGAAGCCATTTTGTCCCAGCGCTTCAGGATCCACAGCTTTGCAGATTTTAAAGCCAATTGCGATCTTAGAGGTCTTCATGGTGAGGTTTAGTTGAGATCTCATCAACTTAAAACTCTATGAATATTCTGTCTAACTATGTGTGTGTGTTGTAGATGTTGTTGGTAACGGAGTAAGTGTCTGCATTTCAAGAAATGAAATACATCGTTTCTTTGATAAAGATGATCCATCCAATTTTTTTTTTAATGTAACATACACCATATTTAAAACTGAAGAGGTCCAATTTTGAACGTTTATCTACTGGACCAGGCTGCAGAAAATTTCAGGCATAAGATCGATGAAAACCAAACCACCCCTGGTTACAACGGTTAATCCAAAAAGACTCGGTGGTAATCTTCCTCTCTCCGTACTAAACTACTCTCTCAACTCAGTTACTTAAACCTCCAGTCAATTAAGTGCTTTTGTGTCATTCTGTGTGTTCCACTTAACATGGAAGTTATGTCTAAGCTCAATGTCCTCATCTAGAGTTTTTTTGGACCACGAATTTCATGATACCAAAGAGTACTTCGGCTGTTAGGAATTATAGTTACAGTACTTCACCACTCTTAGTCATCACCTGATCAATAGTTATTCTTCAAGGTTGGCTGCGAATCCGGCTGCTGCTTCTTCAGTCAACAAGGTAGAGATAGTTAAAGTTGAAACGCTCAAAATGCGTGTGAATGCTACCTTCATCAAGCGTGAACCTCAAAACACCTATGCCACCTTAGTTATTAACATTATAAACATGTAATTTTAGATTGCCTACTTTGACTGCATTGCCACAACCGATGATGTTAAGCTTGGCACTGAGTGGTATTTCATTGCTTGCAAGGATTGTCAAACAAAGTTAAACCAGGGACCTACAACTTTCATATGTCCAAAATACAGAAATGAAAATGCTACTGCAATAGCCAAGTAAGGGTATCATTACTCACATATTTTCATTCTAAAATTTGTGCCATGATCCACTTTCCTGTAACACAGCTTCCGGGTGGAATTATCCGTCTATGATAATGAGGAGCAGTCCATGTTCATCATTATTGGAGATGCTGGAAAAGAGCTGAAAAGCAGAAGAGAAACAGAGTTAATCGATAAATATGCTGACGTGAGTGTCATTCTCCTATAGCCTTACATCTTAAGGGTCATCAAGTTGGTAACTGTATGCTGTTGTATCAGGAAAATGGTGGCGATGGTGCTGAGCATGAGGTCCCACTACCACAATGTTTCATCGATACCATAGTACAGACACACAAATTCAGGATCAAGGTGGTCCACTTCAATTTCACATCGAAGATGACCTTGACTGTTACAAAATTAGTCTCCCCAGCAGTCCTACCTCCTAAAGACCAACCAGCTGACATGTCAGCTCTGCCTCCAGCCAGTGAGGTGGATATCTCACTGGTGACTGAAAGCAGTGGTGGAGGATCTCCCTATGCAAACAGTCTTCCGTCATCTACTGACGAGCGTAGAAACCAAAGCGCCCCAGGCGTAATGCTTGTAGGTGTCAAAATCCGTCACGACAAAATCAATGGCTAAAAGTCTCCGCAATAATAAGAATACGTTTTATAAAACACGAGAAGTTGTTTTATGAAATTCTAAGGACTTTCCGAACAAAGGAAATCCACGCGAAACTTGGAAATTGTAATATTGGAAAAATGAACGAAACAATCTCCGATTACACGATTGCCCGAGTTAAGCAAAAAACTGCATCCACCGTAAATCGCGAGCAGGTTCAACCGAACCAGTTCAACTGTACGTCTAGCTGACCGTCCCGAGCCTCGGATTCCCGCATCCTTGATGTAAGGCATACGTCCTTCGATTCGATCATGCTCTGAACCATGGTCGAAACGTCTCTCATCTCGTCTTGATCCGTCTCACTGTTCAGGTTTTACAATAAAAATCATAAAAGTCTTCTTTTCTCATAAAGTTTGGGAAGATCGTATAGAACAGCAACGATTAGACGGAACATCGTACATTGCCAAAATAGACGATTAACTTGAGAAATGTTCTAAAAACGGCATCATATCAGGAAACGATCTCGTCTAAAATCGTAAAACGGTTTTTATCGCATAACGGCTTGGGCAGCCCAAAAGTGCAATAAAAGCCCCCTTGCGAATTTAAACGAAATCCATCCCAAAGATACAATGACCGTTTGATGATTTACTCACAGAAAGAAACAAAATATCTAGTTTGAAGATAAATAGAAGATTTCCGCAAGGCAAATGGAAAGATCGAGACAAATGGAAGATTCCCGATAAACTTTAATCTGGGCGAAAAGGAAGGACTAAACCGCCTAAGGAGGGAGTATATAAGCAGAAGGCCAAGGAAAGAACACAAGGACAAGTTTCAGAGCTTTCACCACTAAAACTTAGCATTTAGGCAATTTTCCGTTTTTGTTATCGAGCTGCGTCTAAACTAGGGTTTTAGTCTTAGATTGCTAGAACTAGGAATCTCGCCGACGGCTCACGCATCTAAAGCGTACTCTTGTTGTACCGTTCTTACGCAAATTCGGAGTAAGACTCCTTCTTGCTCTTAATCTTGTTTTTCATACTTTAACTTTATTCTCATCGTCTTCTTCATTGCTTGTGTGCGGTTCCGCAGATAGCCGGGTCCTCTGGGAAATTAGGGTTTTCCCGAAGTTTCTAAATTTACGTAAAATTGACAGGGGTGAATTTCGGTTCCCACAATGCTTAGATCATCCTGAACTCATGTCACTCCATCAATGGCTGGTACAGACTGCCCAGTCAGCTTTCGTTTCTAATAACAGTCTTTTCTCTTTCCCTTTGTTGTTTCTTTGCTACTCTTCCACAGACAGTTGGCAAATCGTTTTATTGTTATACTGGTTTGTTTTTGCAACCCACGTATTGGTTATGCAATTCTAAAACCTTCTATGTTCTTCTGCTCCTTAAAAAGAATTTTAGTTACTCAAGATGAAACGAAGTAACAATTCTTCTTCATCCTATTATTTAGCATCAATCTTCACAAGCATTAGTAGAGCAAGGCAGATTTAAAACGACCACGTTTAATATACAAAACTTTAACTGATCATAGGACCTAAATGTACGAGGTAGATTACACCCCTGCAAAAGGCCCATAAGAAATCATGTTTGGCCCATCAGAGGATGACTAAGCGGCGACTAACGGATCAGCTAGTGCATGATCGTTTTTAGCCGAGTAAAGCCATTCTCCGCTTGATGACTAACAACCAGGGACAAACTGCTTAACGAGCCCCGAGTTTCAGGCCGCATAGAAGTCCCATTACGAGAGGCTTTTTACCGCACACCGACCAAAGTCAAATGAGAGAAGGATCCACTATAAAAGGAGAGCAAGGGACAACAAGTAGGGGATCCGAAAATAAACTTATTAGGCAACATCTTAAACTAGGATTAGCCGTCGAGGTGGTTTTCCAGAGCTAATCGAGCGATTTTCTTTCCCCACTGCGTCGAAGGCGACTCTATCCCCACCGACTGACGAATGAACACAGCTCACGCTCCTGTTAAGCATTCTCTACAGAAGTTTCCTCTGCCGCATCCTCATCGACGACCGATTCCACTGACAAATGAAAATCGTTGCCCTTGCTATCAGCCAATTCCCCCGTGTTATTAAAATCCCTAACTCGATTGAGATCCACACCAACCGCACCACCCAAGACCTTGCGATGAGCTTTTATCGCCGCATCCAAGAATTTTGGGCCGGACAGCGAACTCCCCGCGGTATCCGGATTGGTCATCACGCCTTTTCCCTTCTCGGAGTCCGAGAACCACCGAGGGATTGACATAATTGGATCAGTGAACGACCAAGCAATCGATCTCAGTCAGAAACCGGAATATGATACAAAAAAAATACAGAGGCGGCGACGGCTGATCTGAGAAGAACCCTCCGGTGAAGAGCGATGCGAAATAAAAAAAAAAGTAAGGGGGAAGAAGAAAGAAGGTACCTTTTCTTTTGGGCTGAAGAGAAATAATAGAAAGGAAAGAGGCTTCTCTTTTTATAGAAAGAAAAAAAGAAAGGGTTGTGCAATTCGAGAAATATGCCATTATTAGGTTTATTGGGCCTAACAAGTAGCCTCATTACCCGTTAACATGACCCACCGAACGGACGCTCGCTAGAGACAAGAACAATAAAAAAGAGGAATCACGAGCTCCCAAGGTTCATTCGAGCGACCAACGACAGGTCAAGCGAGAGTCTTTCCAAATGCACTGCACCGGCTACAAACAAGCCGGTTATTTTCAGAGCCCATACCTATAATTTCATTGAGAAGACTTGCAATCTTCACCAATGGATTAGGGGGGACTTACTGTTGGAGAGGAATTCCATTTCCCTCCACTAGGCCCATCAAATAACCAAACTCAGCCCATTCCCACTTGCAGCCCGATCGATTGTCAACCCATTTGACCGGTTGATCATTTTCGAGATAACCAAAAGAATTGGTTCAGCGACCGATTGACCTAACCGGATTAACATCGACTCAACCGACCTCTCCTTTTACTAAAAAGCCCATTATGCGGATTTGGGCTTGGACTCTTAATGCAAATAAGTCTTAGGGCGAACGACGGGGAGAGAGGTTGGAACTATAAAAGGATGACACATGGGAAAGAGAAGGGGATCCGAAAACACACACAAGAACTCTGGCAGCAAGGTTCATGGTTTTATCATCAATCGAACCTCCTTGTATTCTCGTCGGTGTTTTCATCATTTCTCCGACTTTCTTTCATTTTCTGTAATCTCCTTGTAATCGCGTTTACTATCAACACTGATCAATAAAACGCCTTCGAAGAACCTACAATTCGAGTTCGGTAATCGCTCAATCGACTTACCCAAACTCAGATTCAACATTCAGCCTGTATAGTAATGTTTGTACTTCCATACACATCTTCACAGCCAAATGATGCTCACTCCACAGCTCGTNCGTTTACTATCAACACTGATCAATAAAACGCCTTCGAAGAACCTACAATTCGAGTTCGGTAATCGCTCAATCGACTTACCCAAACTCAGATTCAACATTCAGCCTGTATAGTAATGTTTGTACTTCCATACACATCTTCACAGCCAAATGATGCTCACTCCACAGCTCGTTCTGATGTGACAACAGGAAAGCAAGATCAACCAGGCAGTCCCACTTGGAGCAGAGGCCACGTGATATATCTTAACACATACACAACTTCATCTCGAGTCGTAGGAAGTAATGACCACATGACACTGTCGTTTCTGGAGTGCAAACTCCACCACATAAATGTGTTCTCTCCTGCACTGATGTAATTAACTATCCTCCTGAAGTGAAACCAAAAAGGAGCCAAAGAGATTCATTAATTATAGGAACTGCTGCTCTCTTAATGCTCAACATTTACTCTCCTAAGAAATGATGATCCCTGCATGTTCATCATTTAAATTATTTATGCCAGAGCATGTAAGAGTTGTTGTATTTCCTATATAAAGGATGTGGCGTCTTTCTTTTAATATACACTGAATATACAAAAAATAAACAAGTTCTCTCATCCATTCCGTGCTCTCTCTTCTCTCTTTACTTGTGTTTAATCAGTGTTCACAATGTTGAGTTCTTGAGGATCACAGTTCTGTTGCTGCCTCATGGCAGCTTAATACTTGTCTAGATACTCACTAAACTCTTCGTATTCTCTTCCTTAACTCTAGCTTACTGATTCTAAATACTCTTTATCTCTAGCACACAAACTCTATGTGTTGTGTCACTACAGGAAATGTGGTTACTAATAGCGGACGAAAAACGCTATGCCGATGTTTTAATAGCGCTTCCTAAAGCGGTCGGACAGCGCTTCGCAATTGTTAATACTATTAAAACCTAATAATTTGATTTTTCCCAATAACAAAGATAGCAAACGTTACATGTTATTAATTAGTTTTTAAATTATCGAAATATTTACTAATTATATTAAATTTGTAATAAAAACAATTTAAATTATTAATATTTATTCAGTAATCAAACTTTGTTTACAAATTAAATCATTTTATACATTAAACAAAAAAATAAATCAAAACCTAAATAACCAAACCTAAATATACCAAAAAATTAATAACTAAAAAAATTACTACGTCTCTTTCTTCTCTTCGTGTTCAGCTTTACCTACACCACCACCACTAGCTTTTTCTGCCATCTCCTTAAGCCTATGTTCTCTTACATCATCTGGAAAGTTAAGCATTATGATATACCATGATTTTGACCCGCTTTTAGCAATGGTTTTGATATGTTTTTATAAGTTTTATATATGTTTTGGAGTCTATTAGGAATGTTTTCAGGTCCAGGAGCACTTTGGAGTAAAATGATGATTTAGGTGCCCTTTTGGATCTTAAAGGAGATTTTTCCGAGATGACTATGAAGATCAGACAATGAGGACACATATCGATCGATACACACCCTGTGTAATCGATCGATGACGCTTCTATTGAAGATGAAGTCGAGATGCTCCATCGATCGATGTACACC